CATGGTCACCCAAAGCATCGGCGGGGCGCCCGCAGCGGTAGGCGCGCGCAGATGCGGGGAGGGGCATGCGCAAGCGGCGGAGGAGGACTATGCGGAACAGCTCGCTAGGCAGCCGGAGCTCTGCGGCCGTGGGCAAAACATGCAGAACTCTCCCCGCCTGATCAGGCCCCGCCTGCGACAACAGCAGCGCGCGCGACGCAAGGTCGAGGTCTGAAAACAGCGTGTCGCGCGCCGCCACATCGGTCAGCGTGGCGCCTCTCTTTGCCATCGCCACCCCATCCCAGAGTTCCTGCCACGTGGGGCTGGTGAAGCCCGGCGGTAGCGTCAGCGCGCGCCTGAACGGCTTGGGCCGCACACGGCAGCCCGCCGCCAGCGCCCCAAGCGCCAGCAGACGCTCCCGCAGAACCGGGAGGCAGCGTCCCGGCTCAACTTCGGAGCGCAAAAGCAAGCAGGCCGCGCATCCAGCCTGGCACGCTTTGCAACGTCGGCGTGCGGACGCGGAGGGTTGTGCATCGAGGTCTACGTCATCGAGGGCACGACCACGCTGCAGCGCAGCGTCCGCCAACTCGACACGATGGCGGGCGCCGCCCCTGGCGCCCCTCCACCGGGAGCGTCCAGCAGGCAAGTTGCCATCGCCTCGCTCGGGCTCTGGCGCTGCCCGGGTTTGGGTTGGGCTCAGGCGGAAGGTGTTCGCGCAGCTTGGCAGCTGCGCCGCAGCCTCTGGTCCCGAAAATCTCCAGCGGCGTCTCCTACGCAGACGCGATGAAGTACCCGTCAGGTTTGAGGAACGCCGCGACTGCAGGAAGCGGCAGAGCGGCCGCTTGGAGGCGGATGATGCCAACATCTGCGGGGGCCGCCTCCTGCAGGAGCTGTACCACTGGCAGCCACCCGTCCCATGTCTGGCAAGCCCAGTCCTCGAAAGGGGGCGGATGGAGCCGTCGTGCTGAACTTGCGGCGCGGACCGGGGGCCTACGCGCTGCTCTCGCGCGCGGACGGGCAGCTGACCCGGGCGGGCCAGCACTACTACTCGCACCTGGGCCTGCGGCCTCCCAGCAGGGACTTCGACTACAACCAGCCGCTGATCCGCGAGGGCCCGAACGACTACATCCTGCTGCGCAACGGGCGGAAGAAGCTCGTGCGGAGCATGCAGGGCGGCGAGCACCGGCTGACCAAGCTGGGCAAGGGCTTCTTCCGCGACAAGTTCTACGAGTACCTGGTCCACGTGCCGGTGGTCATCCGGGGCAGGAGGCGCAGCGGGCGGAACGCCGGCGCGGGCTACGAGCGCAGGGACTGGCTGCCTGTCCCCGCCGCAAGCAGCAGCGGAACATAGAGCCACGAGTTGCCTGCAGCGGAAACCGCAGCCACGCGAAAGCCGCGCGTCCAGGGTGGGAGGCCGAGCGTCCGGGCGTGGGGCAGCCTTCGAAGCCAGGCGTCACGTCGCCTGACTGTCCAGGACCGGCCTCGCCTTGTACCAGTCTCTTCCAGCAACGTGGCGGCCTTGACAACCGCACACTCCACGTCCCCGGGATGGCGCGGCAGGTGTGAGGTCGGGGAGCGTTGCTGCCTTGGAGGATCGCACACGGGGAGTTTCCCGGAGGCGTCGCTCCAGAGACTCGGTGTCCGCCAGCCGGTGTGGTTGGCTGCCGCAGGGGCCGCGAACCCAGCCCGAGCCAGCGCATCGGCTGCGCGCGTGCGTTGTTCGTTCAACCCGTCCGTCTCCGTCGGCCCCGGGTTGCGCGCCAACGGGCCGCAGGGGGAGCTGCTGCGTGGGCCGCCGGTGGCAGCCCTTCGGTCAACAAGCCTTTCAAAAAGAAACTGCCTCCAAGGGCCCGCTCGTCTTGGCAGGCTAGTCTGAAGAGGGGCCTAGGGGCGCTCTCTCAGCTTCGGCCCTCCGCATCCAGGAGTGCAGCGGCTGCCTGGAGCAGTTGTTAGTGACGTTGCTGGTCACGCCCGCGCCCCAACATTTCTGCCCCGCCCGGGGGGCACGGCTGCGGGCACCACCACCACCAGGGCCACGGCTGCGGCTGCGGCAGCGCCGCTCGGCGGCCGCGCGTAGGCGTCGGCCAGCTCCCGGAGCAGCTGCGCCGCGCCTTCCAGCATGGCGCCCAGCTCCTCAGGAAGAGCCGGGCCCTGCACCAACCGCTGCAGCAAAATGAGCGCGCAGGCTCGGCAATGTGCCGCTTCCGTTTGCGCGTCAGGAAGGCGGCAACACGGCACAACATACTAAGACCAGCCGCAGGAGTTACAGACAAGATATAAAGGTTACACAAATTTAACGGAACTTGCATCTACTTATAACCAACTTCGCAACAGGTACAACAAGCTACCCGCAGGTAGTTCGCACCTGAAAGATACAAAAAGTTAGAAAAACTCAGAAAAGTTATAAAAACTGAGAAAAGTTACAAAAAGTTATCTGAGAGCAAAAATCACACGTTGTGGTCAGCACATAATTGCACAAAACAAGCAATGCCTAGATACGCAAGCGGTTGAAAAAGAGTGAAATCTCTCAAGGATCCGGCAATGAACGCTGTCAAAACTCTCTAGCCGCTCAAGACTCTCCACGCTGTCGAAACTCTCCGAAACTCTCCAGCCGCACAATTTTTCTAAGACAGCCGTCGTCGAGTCCGTCAAATCAAAACTAGCAGGTTGCCATCCACCTCTCTCCGATAGGCAGGGCAGAGCCATTTACAGGAGTTCATCTGACGCCACGCCTTACAACTTGTGGGCTCAAAAGAAAGCACGCCGGGCATCTCTTGAACCACGCGTCGAAAAAACCACACCTAGACATTCAATCACTTCGCCTCGGTTCAAGCATGATGCATTCAGACGCCAGCAACAGCGGCTGCCCCGTGCGCAAACTCATGCGCGGAAGCTTCAGCTCTGAGTCAGAAGCAAAGTGCGGCTCCCAGAGCCCAAGGGCGCATTATTTTTTGGGTTGGAGACAAGTGAAGGCAGTCAAAATCTGGGCTGACACATTTTCAGCGAGCCCCGTTTCAGAATTTTCTGAATTTATTCAGAAATTTTCTGAACTCAGCAAATGGAAACAAGGGCAAGCCTCAAATTCAGAATTTTCCGAATATTCATTTCTGAATTTATTCAGAATTTTTCTGAACTCAGCAATTGAAACATTTTTCTGAACTCAGCAAATGGAAACAAGTACTGGACAAGCCTCAAACTCAAGTTCAGAATTTTTCTGAATTTAATTGAATTTATTCAGAATTTTTCTGAACTCAGCAAATGGAAACAAGTAGGCAAGCCTCAAATTCTGAATTTATTCAGATTTTTCTGAATTTATTGAACTCAGCAAATGGAAACAAGTACTGGGCAAGCCTCACATTCAGATTTTTTTCTGAATTTACTCAGATTTGTCTGAATTTATTCCACGTTCATCTCCGCCACTTGGACATGCATGGCCGCCTGCCCGCCCTCCTCACGGCAGACACGCGCGATCGCCCGCTCCACCGGTGCAGCCCTGGTCCGTAGCACACCCAAAGCATCGGCGAGGCGCCCGCAGCGGTAGGCGCAGATGCTGGGAGGGGCACGCGCAAGCGGCGGAGGAGGACTATGCGGAACAGCTCGCTAGGCAGCCGGAGCTCTGCGGCCGTGGGCAAAACACGCAGAACTCTCCCCGCCTGAGGCCCCGCCTGCGACAACAGCAGCGCGCGCAATGCAAGGTCAAGGTCTGAAAACAGCGTGTCGCGCGCCGCCACATCGGTCAGCGTGGCGCCTCTCTTTGCCATCGCCAGGCACCTGGCCCGGCGCCACCCCATCCCAGAGTTCCTGCCACGCCCTGTTCTTCTCCAGCAGCGTTCCAGATCCGCGTCTTCCCAAAGTGCACCTCTTATGCCCGCATGCTCCTGCAACACAACACGAGCAACGCCGGCCACCGCACGCACACGCTCCGGTTGGCACACGGCGCACAAGTGGTCGAGCTAGGCGAACACGGTCTTTCTGGGAGCAAGGTCCGCCTGCAGCGCCGGGCGCTGCCCCAGCACGTATAGGGCTGGGTCTCCCTGCTCGCCCCCTTCTGCTTGGACAACGCCACGCGGCATGCCCGCGTCGTCGTACCAGAGGTACGTGCTGCTTTCCACGTAGAACAGGCGAGCGAAGAGGAGCAACAGTGCGAGCACGTTGACCCGCGAGGCCCGCATGCTGGCTCGATGGACATGGTCATAGGCCCCGACGCCATCTATGCTCACTACCGTCGCGCGCGGGGCAGCCTCTCCGTTCCGGCCCAAGTCCCCCGAGCGCAAGCTGGAAGGGCCGGCAAGCTGCATCAAAGGAGGCTGCGCCAACGTCCGGGCCACCAGCCGGCGGAAGGTGTCCCCCATGACCAAGCCGCGGACTCGTCCGTTCGGCTTGCGAGGCGATGACGTCGGGGACGTCCGCCAGCGTGGCGTGGAGCAATTGCACTCCTCTGAATGCTGCCTTGGAGGATCGCACACGGGGAGTTTCCCGGAGGCGTCGCTCCAGAGACTCGGTGTCCGCCAGCCGGTGTGGTTGGCTGCCGCAGGGGCCGCGAACCCAGCCCGAGCCAGCGCATCGGCTGCGCACGTGCGTTGTTCGTTCAACCCGTCCGTCTCCGTCGGCCCCGGGTTGCGCGCCAACAGGCTGCAGGGGAGCTGCTGCGTGGGCCGCCGGTGGCAGCCCTTCGGTCAACAAGCCTTTCAAAAAAGAAACTGTCTCCAAGGGCCCGCTCGTCTTGGCAGGCTAATCTGAAGAGGGGCCTAGGGGCGCTCTCTCAGCTTCGGCCCTCCGCATCCAGGAGTGCGGCGGCTGCCTGGGGCAGTTGTTAGTGACGTTGCTGGTCACGCCCGCGCCCCAACATTTCTGCCCCGCCCGCGGGGCACGGCTGCGGGCACCACCACCACCAGGGCCACGGCTGCGGCTGCGGCAGCGCCGCTCGGCGGCCGCGCGTAGGCGTCGGCCAGCTCCCGGAGCAGCTGCGCCGCGCCTTCCAGCATGGCGTCCAGCTCCTCAGGAAGAGCCGGGCCCTGCACCAACCGCTGCAGCAAAATGAGCGCGCAGGCTCGGCAATGTGCCGCTTCCGTTTGCGCGTCACGAAGGCGGCAACACGGCACAACATAGTCGCCACCAGAAACTGCAAAGGGTCCCTGGGGGCCAGAAGAGCCAAACAGCTGCGGCAGACACAGAGCAAGCCTTCGCCCCCCTCGCCCCCTACATGTTGTGGACCCGGCGCACGACGACCGGCCGCGCGCATCCCTCAGATGCTGGCAGCCCGCCACGCGCTTTTTTCGGACGGCGGGCGCCGCAGCTGCTGGCTGCCATGGGGCCGGACGCACATGGGAACCGAGGCCGCGTCGCGGCCGCGGTGCCCCAGGCCAAACTCCCAGCGTCCTTTCGAGCAGCTGGCACAAAAGTGCCTCGGATGAATGCCCCGCACCTCTGGCCTGTACCTCCTGCACTCCTCCTAGCCGGAAGCACTCGAGTACTGCGGCCGCAGCCTCCGCAGCCGGCGAGCAGCCTGCTCGCTCGGCCGCGGTAGCCCGCGCGTTCTCAACTTCATTGGTACAATCCCACGCGCAGGACCGTACCATCATTCCCACCATCATTCCCCATCGCAGGGGATGGGATGATGCAGGTCGGCGGGTGAACCTGACTGAGCTAAAAAGAAAGGGATACGCACCCTACCCTCCCAAGCCACAATCTCACAGCAACAACGATCTGAATGCCGAGCATGCTGCAAGGAATGTCCATGTGGCAACTCATTGTTTCGCATGCAAACTCAGGTCTGGTTTTTGCAAAATCTACAAAACACATGCAAACAAAACAAAAATCTGCGTTGCCACAAATTTCCTGTTGCGGCACGTCTACGCACGTGTCAAACATAAAAACTTGGCGCAGCGCACCATTAAACCTTAGCACGTGCCATCGTACGTCTGTGTTTAACAGGAACCGGACGCGCGCGCGGCGCGCGCATCTTGGTCATTTGTTGTTGATGCGCTGTACATGATGGGTGGGACAAAAAGGTTGGCTCACGCGTATGCAGTTCGCCCACGCAAAGTTGCCTGGGTAAACTGTTTCAACTCGTCAACCTTTTGTCACACAGACACGCGCAACAAGAGGCCCTTCAGTTAGACAGGGGCTTTCCCGTCCGCATTTTGCCATCCGGTCCTAGGGTCCCCCCCACACTTTTGGGCACATTCTGAATACGCCCACTAAAACAGCCCATTTTCAACATTCAAATTCAATCACCCACCCAATCCAACGCCAAAAAACACATATTCACATACCCATCTTCATTTCTTACCCCATCTCAACATCACCCTTACACTCATTCAATAACAACAATCATAACTACATGCCACCTCAACAAATCCCACCAAAAAAATCCAAGCTACATACCAACATTTTTTCATTCCCAAGATCGCAACCCCAAGATCTCAATAATTTCTCCCTTGATCCAAACTGCAACCCTTTCCCATTTCCAACAAATACGAACAGTCTAAAAAAGAACCCTATGTTCGCCCCGAAAAATGGTTAACCAATGGAAAAGGGAGAATTAAAACCGTTAACCCAAATAATCAAACAGCATAAACACAAAACAGCCAAAGCATGAAAAAATCAAAAGAGCATGCCAAGTTCAAACAACGCACTTTGAAAGAGTCAAGCAAATTAAACAAACATCCCTTGACCAACGTTACCACGGCTTTGTCTTCTACCTCATCGGCATCTACTTCGTGCGCCCTTTCAGATTGTGTCGGGATGGGTGGGTTTCTTTTGCGTTGATTGTCTCAACAGTTTTCAACAGTTGAGTGACAGACATTGATACCTCAGCCTTTCTCAGAGTTCAAGACACTCGCGCGCTTCCGCATTGCTTGCTGTCATGTCGGCTTCTTTGGTGTTTGTCAAGCAGTCAGGCACTGTTGAGGAGTTGAAGGCGCTAGCGGTGGGGAGCGGTTCTATCCTGACTTTGAGTGAGGGTCGCATCAATGGTGCGTACGATGTCACGGACAACAACGAAGAGTTGAAAGCCTACCTCAAAAAGATGACCATTGACAACATCAAACTCACAATGACCAACTTGGGATGTAGGCTTACAGCCACAGGACGGGGTGGTCGCTCTGTTCGCACGACAAAGGACAACTATGTTGATGCTTTAATGGAGCACTGGGAGACGATTAAACAAAGGGCTTCTTCAAGGGCTTCGGCTTCAACCAGTTTGACCACTCCTTTGGCTACATCTTCGCTTGACACGGAGAATGACAGCCTGAAGGTGGATCAGGAGAAGATCAAGGAGGATGGGTTGCGAACTATCGCCTACGAGGAAAATGAGAAGGACAGCAACAAGGACAGCGAGAAGGACAGCAACAAGGACAGCGACAAGGACGGCGACAAGGACAACGAGAAGGACAGCGAGAAGGACAGCGACAAGGACAACGAGAAGGACAGCGAGAAGGACAGAACAAGGACACCGAGGACTTGGAGAAGTTGAAGGAGAAGAAGATGCTTCAGAACACAGAGTTGGATAGTCAGTCATCTTCATCAAATGAGACTGAGAATGAGGTGGGCATCGCTGGCTTGCTTGGTATTACCAATGGCGACTACGAGGAGGACACTGACAATGAGGTCTTGCTGATTGACACAGACTACCTTCGCGATGCTTCAGACTTCGATCCTGTCACCATCAAGGTTGCTGAGTTCAAAGGAAGCGTTCTTTTCAACACCAAAGCCTTTCTGATGGACACCACTGAGCGACTGAAGGAGAACGTCCTTGACATCATCCATGGCAAGGCACGCACGGACGCCGGGAAGTGCTTGGGTTTGACTGACTTTGACCTTTGCTTTGGCCAGCAGACTATGGACAACGTGAAGATCTTGAGCGACTACTTTGACAAGACGGAAGAGACCTTCACGGTGTGTTTGATTTTGAAGTTGAAGGGCGGCGGTCGGTCCTACAAGCCTATCAAGAAGGACACCAAGAACAGCAAAATCAAGGGCTACAAGGAGGAATTCACAAAGGCAAGTGCCTCTGTCAATCGCCAAGTCCTTTCACCACTTGCTTTTGTGGTAGATGTGGAGCGCTCACTTCAAGCCTTTGCCACGGCAGTTGAGACCAATGCCGAGGATGCTCTCATCAAGACCATGATTTCTTCCTTCACGGTTTCCGAGTTGGATGAGATGAAGGTTGATGTGTCCAAGAAGGGTGGCTCTTCGGAGGGAAAGATCGTGAAGTATGCGGGACGCATGTTTGGTCTTCAGTCCGTGGTTGAAGCCACTCACAGTTTGGAGTGCATCATCCAGTCTTCAGAGAACCTGCTGATGTTGGCGGTTGGCACGGCTTCAGGTGATGGGTCTGATATTGCAACCTTCAAGGAAGTGATTGAGAGGGCACGTTTCATGAAAATGGGACAGGAAAGTGTGTTGTCTTCGCCAGCAGGGCGACGCTGAGATGTGAGTTGAGCCACTTTCAATTGTGTCATTGACCTTTGACCAATGGAACATTGACATTTGACCAATGGGACATTGACATTTGACCAATGAGACATTGACGTTTGACCAATGGGGCATTGACTTTTGACCAATGGGGTATTGACATTTGACCAATGTGGCATTTGATGCGATGAAAATGGCTCATTCCGGCTTTGATACTATGCTTGTAATCCATCACATCAGCACAGGTGATGTAAAGCATAGAAGCCATGCCAGTGTGTCCTGTGATGGAAAAAGCGCTTTGGCAATTAAACAAAACAACTCAGTTGAAAAAAAAAGAGTTCCA